ATTTTAGTATTATACATTATTTAATTTCTTAATTTAAAAGTAAATATTAAAAAAACACATTTCCAAAACATACATACCTCCACTGACACTAATAGCTATTTCTCAATCTTCATCTTTGCCATCTAACATTGTGTTTGCTTGTTCCAGTCTTTATATACTCCACTCGACTGCCCTCAGCAATATCTAATTTGCAAAATTTTACACCAGTCCTCACATGCCCTCTATGCAGGTACTGTATATAAGCACTGTATGCAGACAATAAAATCACTTTTTCTCAACAAAGCGCAAGCATTCAGACTAACGTTTGTGATTGACATTTTCTTAGTTTTCGCTTTCTAATAATTGGGAATTTGTTGTTTTGTTTTTTCCTACAAATATATTACTAAAAAAAAAAATGGATATAAAGCTGTCTGTGACCTGATTCGAGGGGAGATTGAGTCCTTCATGCCCCGGCAGTATCTCTCCGGGAGGTGCTCTGATTTGAATTTTTATTCTGAAACGGGATATTTTGGGGAGAATTTAGACTCCCTGTTTCCTGCTCCTTCTTTTACTATAGCTTCCTCTCCTGAGAACTTATCTGATCAGCCACCTTCTGCCCCTTTTTCTGCAGTTAGTTACACATGTTTGTGAAGTTTTGGAGATGCAACCAGTTGCTTTTGAGTCTACCCCTACTTTGTTGTCTGATCGTTCTCAAGGGAATTACTTAGTTTTTCCTCTTTCTCCTGATCTTGCTCTGCATGCAGGGAGGTTTGCAACATAATTATGTGAGGACGTCACTGTGTCTCTTCCCCCCCTCCTTTATCTGAACAACATGCCCTGGCATATCATCGTCAGGATGATATATATTTGGACACTCAAAGGTTGGACCCGTTGTTGGATCTATGGGATGCCAGGTACGAACCTGTTCTCTCTCTTAACAGGTAGCAATTTTCACAGATTCGTTTGACCCTTACTACTGTTTTGAGATACTTCTCTTCCCTTCAACTTTTGGCTGAAGCACATTACCAGTCGCCTGAATAATTTGACGATGAACTGGGCTCTTTACTGGTCACTACTATGACACATTTGTCCTCTTCAGGACTTGCCTTGGTTGGTCTGTTGTTGGGACTTGTTTGGTCGGGATGCATTTTTGGAGGGTATTCACTTACCTTTCTCTGCCCTTCGAGATTTACAGGAAGCACCTTTTCTTCGACCTTATTTATATGCTGGAATTCCAGAATCTTTAGAAGCCAGAGTTGATACAGTATGTTTGCAGTCTTTATCGTCTTTGGCTCTATTTTACTTCCACTGGTACTTCTGCAGGTTCATCCCATCATGTCTCAAGGCCCCCTCCTTCAACTCCTTTTCCATTGGTTCTCTTAATCGTTTCCGTCCTTATTCACAGGAGATATTTTGCGGGCTGGTATGTAGACTTCTCCTGACACATTCATATCTCATTACCTTCACAATCTGGCATTTTCCTCTTCGAAGGGACTTCATCTTCCCCCTGTAGCTGTGTTGACTACCTCTACTAGATTTTAACAGGGTGGTGAGTAACGTGTTATCTGACTTACAGATATTGTTCTTTTCTCTTCTAGGGTCCCTACTGATTTCTTTTGGAACCCACACAGTGGCGAATGTTGCCCAGTTAGGTATGCTTGTATGCTTGCTGGGGTGGTGAACCATGGAGGTATCCTCCTGAATGAGAGATATACAATATAAACAATAAAGACTCCCTTCAGTTGAGAGTAGGTTGGTGGTGTTCTGATGGTGTAGGTAATGAGATGTTCTCCAAATGGACACTCCAACTCTGCACTGGTTTGTCCAAGAGGATGTTGCAGCTTTGGAGTGCGCCATCATGATGATTGGGATCCTTCATCCTACTCCCTCTTAGGAGTCGATTCCCAGCAGTTGAGTTTTGAATTACGAGCTGAACCAGTAAATATAAATCCTCACATGTGTTCAGAGTGTCCCTGGTTCCTCACTCAATTCGCCTTGAGTGTACTACCCCAGTGCTGTGTGTCACAGTGGGTGAACTTGTTGGTTGCTCCACTGCTTCCATTCAAACTACCCCTCGGTGTCTTTATGCCAAGGATGTTACTGCATTTGAAGTGGTTCTGGTGTGTTTGATTTGAGTGGATATATATGTATGTTATTTTACTCTGCTCACATGTGCCCTGTTCACAGATCAGTTGTGGGATTTCTCCCTCGGCTGAACTTGAGGTGAAGATGGTATGATCCTTGTCCTACCCAACATAGATGTCAGTTCCCAGAGGTCGAGTTTTGAACGCAGTTGACTTCCCGTGTATTGTCTGTCGTGCCCTAGCAAGTCTACACCTTGGGGCACATAACTTATTTTACCCACATTCTGTTCATCAGGAAGATTGAAATTATAATATATTGGGGCTAGGATCACTGTCCAACTGTGTGTGTGTGTGAGGGAGTGAAAGGCTTGGGGCATGCAAACAATTGATTGCAAAAAGAGGGCAGTAGTGAACGAGAATAGCTATGTATGTGAGCAGAAATAAGTTCCTGTCAGAAATACATTTTCAGCGTAGGAAAATTATAACTTTGAGCCATTTCTTCTGTATGTAAGGTTACATTTCCTGTATGGGACTATGTCTTTCTTTTCCTTTGTTGTAAATATGCGTAACATCATAAAACCTTCTGCACCTCTGATCTGTTTTCAGAGTTGTTATAGTTCAAAACGCATCCAAAAGTAAAATTGCATTCTGTTTCTACACACTAAAATATTATTCAATTGCTGAATACATTGGTATATGTATGCAAAGTTTCCCTTCTCTCATTCTGATATTGCTTTTTACATTAAATGATTATACTTCTTTGAATAAAAGGATGGAACATTTTATTCAATAAAAGATAGAACAAAAATAGATCTTGTGGTATCACAAATTTTCAGAAAAAGTGGACATTAAATGTTTATTATTAAAAAGGCCATATATGTGTGGATGTGGTAAATAGCATCTGATGGACATTGCTCTGCATTCATATAAGGGTATCTATTTTAATACCACCTTAGAGTTAATATGATGTGTTTGATGTCATACATGTATTTAGATTTAAATATGTGTAAATAAAGCATATGTAGGTTTTGGATGTAAAAGTTGTTTAATTAAAAAAAGCAGAATATGATGACTTTCTATATTTTAGTGAGGTAATTATTTTGTTTGAGAGTTGTATGATTATGGAATTTTTTTTATCATAATGAAGGACTATAGGCTTTATTTTTGTTGTAACATTTTTTTCATTTTGATTCCAGGCGATCCACAATAATACCCGTTACAAATGTAAGCTCTGCCATAATGATTACAACACCATCAAGTCATTAATAAATCACATCAGAAAATACCACCAAGGGCCATCAGGCAAGCAATATTTAGCACTGTTTCAAACTCAAGCTGATCGTAACATGTCTGTTCTGCACGTTTGTAACATCTGTAACAGGAAATTCAAGAAGAAAATTGATAGAGATAGGCATCTTTATGTTCATGACATTAGAGATAATACCAGTTTTATGCAGTGCTCACTTTGTGACTACATTGCTTCAAGACGATCCTATCTAGAAAATCATCATCGCAAGCATCGGATAGTATATGTTTGTTCTGTATGTGAATCTATGTTTTTGAGTTCTGTTCTCCTGAAAAATCACTTTAGTCATCACAAATTAGATAGCCAGTGTAACGATAAGACTTACTTAAATCCACAACATCCTCAAGATCAAGAAACAACAAAAGAGTCACAACAAGTGACTCAGACTTTGGACCAATTGTTTGAAGAGTCCATTAACAAAAGCTGGTACCTACCTGAGCCTCGGGGATCTATTGCACAGAATCAGTATGTCAATATTCCACTAGAACTTTGTGAAGATGACAACCAGGTAATAACTGTACCAAGTGTATTAGATTTATGTGATAACTTTAAAATGAGAGAGTCTTCTTAGAATTACATCTGTACATTTGGTGAGTTGGGTCAGTCAGTTTGTAACTGTGAAACTATATGTACTATAACTCTGAAATTACTAAACATATTTATAAGAAATTTAGCATGCTTTCAGTAAATATTAAAAGTCTGTTTTACACAAAAATCAATTTTTTTAATAAAGTGTTTCTACTAAAAAATTTAATATTTTATCTCTTATTTTCTGTACCCTAACAACATACTTGATCCACAGGCCTGAAGAGAAATCATCACTATACAGTGAAATGAAAGTTTGAAATATATAAAATAAAACAAGTATAACACCAGTCTTTCTTCAGCAGTTTTGATTAAACAAGTTCCAAACAACTTATTTTCACAATTGTAACTTTTAGCTTTTTCTTATCTGTTTTCTTCTATTGTTTTATTGCAGCACTTTGTACTCTAAGCAGTAACTCTTGGCAACAAAGCAATAAGTCACAAAAGGAGATATTAATAGCTTCCAGCAGACCATAACAAAAACAACATTTGAAAATGACATGCACTAAGCTCATTGTGACTTTTGCCTCTAGCTTGTGAAATTTTAGACATTTTATTTTACTGAAGTTTTGATAGATTAAGCTGGGAAGTTTCAATTGTTTCAATTTTAATTACTTTTGTTACAAAATATATAACAATAGATAAAAGAAATACATAAAAAACTGGATTTGTAGTACTTGCTGCACTATCAAACTGGTTTGCTCTCATGTATAAAACAGAAGCTGTTTTTCCCTAAGCCTTGTTCAGTCTCACAATTTTGGGTGTCTAAAAATAATGTATGTAGCTTTCAAATATATGTCTTAAAACACAAAAAAATATATTAGTCATTATAATAGAATGTCCCCAAATGACTATAATTTATCCTTCTTTCTAATTATGCTATAAATAGGTTCAAACAATTATGTTAACTGTTCAGAGTAGCACCAAAATGATATTTGAATAAGAAACATATGATGACTGAATAATCTAGACAGAAAAATTTAGACTTTCACATAGAAGAGAATCTGTTTTTTATTCTGGTTATAAACATATCCACTAGCCTTGTAAAGTTGCTTAGGAAACAATATCAAAAGTCAGAGAAGGAAGGCCTTCTATGGTAGGTTTGAAAAATTTACTGATTACCTGAGCAAATCAAGAAGGCAGGAGGTGCAGATTTTATGTTCTTGCTTGTAATTATACTTATTTTATGTTTCTTATTGGTTGGAAACTGCAGTAACTTATGAAATTAGAAAATTCTGAATTGGAGAAATCTAAACTCAGATGTGTCTTGGGACACACTTTATTACACCCTAACAATTAGCATTATTTAATATCATAAGTTGGAAAATATTCACTTATTAAAATGAGATTAATTATTCATAGACATCATAGTATGCTTTAAATTGTTTTATCAATTAGTTGTGTCTTTTGAACTATCTGAATGAATAAATCTCATTTATAAACCACCCTTTACAATACAGAATAAAAAAAATCACAGGTTATAATTTGGCTAAACAAATCATCTTAATAGAATTTAAACATGAGGTCACAGTTAGTTGTTTTTTATTCTGAGTTGTTGTTTGGGGTAATAGTGGATGACTTTAGTGTATTGACTACCAGTGGCTTTACCTCCCATTAGTTTAATATATATATATATATATATATTAGCTGTATGACAGTTGTGTATGTACTATGACATTACATTATTAGTGTAGTTAAATTACTCTTTGACAATTTCTCTCACTACATATTAACTACTGTTATTGTATCTTTCCAAAGTATTATTATTTTTATTGAACTTTCTACTTTCTGAAGGCTTATTATGTTTCCTTTTTGTCTTTTCCAGAAGATTTAATGTACGTTATTACGTTCTGTAACCAGCTCTGTGTATTTGTTATAGTGAATAGTTAAAATATTAAAGTTTTTCATATATAAAATATAGACACACACACCACACATATATATGTTTAGCTTTTTCTTTTCTTTTTGTATTGCATTAAACATTGCTATATTATCATGGATAGTTTTAGGCATTATTTTGATTTTTAAGTTATTGTATCTCAATAAACATCAGTTTTTGGTTGTACTATGAGAAAATTACTGCTAAAGATTCAATACAGTTTATACAGTAACCTATTAAATGTAGACGTCTCTCCCATCCGATACTATACTCAAGTTTTCTTTGGTCAAAAGATGTGATAGGGAAGAACAGAAAAAATAAGAAAGTTATATTAAGTTCACAATTTTCTTCTACAACAGTACTTCAAGCAGACAGCAAGTGATTCTATGTTCTCTTAAGTAAGGTATATTGTATTATATATTGCTACCGTATTAATAATATTAATTTTACTGTTCAGTACATCAAATATCATTGATTCTTATTTGGTGTGTTGCTTGTTATTATTTATTTACCATAAAGATTGTTTTGCATTGGTAGCTTAATATATATAGTTAGGACTAACCTAAATTTCTTAAGCCAGCTGAACCTTGTGAGTTATTATTGGGATTATGGCCAAAAATGCCATTAACAGCAAGGGTAGAAACCAACTAATAAAACAATGCATTTACTCCTAAGTATAAACATCTATTTAATTAGCTCTGTTTATTACCAGACTGAAGGAGAAAGATTCAAGATTTTTCTTTCTATAGTGTAAAGATAGTGGGTAGAAAATAAACCTAATAGACAGTGCTTTCCAGATTGTCTTGGAGCAGTTGCCTCACTAACCAGAATACTTTTTACTATTCTAAATCTACTGTATCACTTGTACTTCTATTTTGTGTATATATGTCTATGTTCCTTATTGTTGGCCTTGTCACTGAATAAAAATTAGGATAATACTAACAAAAGTACCCAGCAGAAATGTCACTAGATAGATAAAAGATTCGGGGCTTGGGAATTTTTGGTGCTTCAGATGATATTGATTATGGTTTTCTATTCTGATTTTTCAAGACACCAACTAGGGATTCGTGGCTCTGTCAAATAGACTTGGGACATGGGTTCCATGTGGCAGTGCCTAGTGATGCCCCTGGTATCCAGCAATACCAAGATTAAAGAGTAATGCCATAAGTGGAGGTATGGACCACTGTTATGAGCTATAGCACACAATCTGTGCTGTTGCAGAAGTACCCATGCTACATGCAGTATTAAATGTCACTTTCATTTAGCATCAACTTCATGTATTTTATACCAACTTCCTCGCTCAGTTGAGTGCTCATTTGTGCCATTAAACAGTAAAATTAGAATGGCTTCTTAACTCAATTCTTTTATCTGATTGCTTATCCAGTAAAATTGACTCAGCCAGTTCCTTACAACAACTTGTGACATGAGATAGACAGATAACTCTATTTTATGTTTATAGGTTTCTATGAATATATTATTGTATATGATACTCTTTATTGTAGATTTTAACATATAATGATTATTTTTGTACAGAGTTTGTAAAATTTACGGTTTAAATTAAAGCTATGCCTCTAAGTTTGTGTAAGTACCTGGTGATTTGCAGTACTTGTTTAGTAAATTGTCTTTCCAATTCAATTTTAGGTAACAGCTGTCACAGAAGGTGATAGAAAGCCATCTTTCAGTCTCCATGTATCATTAAATTACAAGCTGCTGACAACAGATCTTTACAGTAAAATTCAGGAAGCATTTGGAAAGGTGGAGTGCCAGCACTGTGGTAAACTCTTTCATACAGTCATGGACCTGGATCCTCACTTACTAACTCATGAGGAAAATAAGCCCTTCAAGTGCACCAAGTGTTCCTACAGTGCAGTATCAAAGGTGAAGGAACTTTTTGGTTTTTAGAGTATGTTGTCAGCTAGAAAGATTAAGATACAAAGCCATAAAGCTAGTTGTACTTAAAGAAGGTTGAGATCATGTAATACAGTTTTTCAGCATCATAATTGTATTTAAAAACTTTCTGTTAAAGATATACACACCTCATAATAAACTTTCTTTTATAATTTATATTTAGATTATTTTTAGTTGTTGTTCCTGTCATAAGTTTGCATCATAAAAAGTAATTTTCAAAGTGATTAATGAGTTTGGTATTTAGAAGTTTTTTGTAAGTAATTAGAATCTCAGTATTGCCCTTATTATTGTAATAGAATAGCTTATATATGCGGTTACACATAAAATATACTGGTGAACTTAGATATACCACTTTTTTTTTCAAAATTTATTATTGAAAGCAGAAAAAAAGTTAATTGCTGCAGATTAATAATAGACATGGATGTAAATAATCAGATCCAGTTTCTTTGTTGTTTTTTTTTAAGTTTACAAAAAGCTTTTAGGGTAGGTAGGTTTTGATGCAGTATTTTGTAATCAATTTTCAAGCTATTCCATCTACATTGGTTTGGTGGTATATGTGTATTTATGATATATATATGTGTGTGGTGTGTATGACTATTAAACTGAATCCTGGGAATTTATTTAAGACTGCTTACACTGGATGCATGTCTTTAGACTAGTTAAGGAAGTGTTTTATTTGACCAATTTTCACTTAGTGTTTCTTTTAAATTGTGTATTGAGTTTAATACTGTATTACTGTAATACATTTTTCTTATGTTTATGTCTACTCAAGAATACCATCTATAAGAGGTTCATTCAGTATATTTGAATTTTTAGATGGTATCACTTAATTTATAAGTACACATACATACAGGGGGCACCCATTGTATCCTAGCTGTAATTGGCCAGCAATTTATGGTTAGTCGAGTCAATGTCATAATCACAGGATCAGCACACAACATCCATCTGTATTTTGTTTCAGAAATGCTGCACATAAAAACTGCATGGAGTTACTTAGTCTTTGGTACAGCCATAGAAACACTTAGGATAAGCAGCTTTTTTTTTTATCAGGTATGAAACTGAAACCACACTGCTGGTGTATAAATTGACTACATTTATCTAGTTGTCGCAAGGAATGAAATTTGATACCATGTAGAAGAAATCATACTTCTAAAGCATGTTCATAGAAAGGACACATATTAAGAGCAGATTGATTTATGATTCAGAAGCTCAGCATAAATTATTTTTTAACTTCATTTTTCTTGATAAGGACTGTTTAAAACGACACCAAGAAACGGTTCATGAAAAGATGCCTTTCCCTTGTGAGTTTTGTGAATTTGTTGCACCATCTCGCACCTCTCTCTGGCACCACCGACAGAAACACCTAATCTCTCAGAGCAAGTGTCCAGTCTGTGATACAGAGTTCCAGAATTTTCGTCTTCTCAAGTCACATGTTATTTTGAAGCATCCAGGGATGGATAGAAATGAGCTAAGAAAGGTAAGAGCAAAGGAATTTCTGAATTTCCACATTTTTATTGCATTTATAAGTATTTGCATTAATTAGATAGCTGTGGTCTCATCAGCTAATGCTGGCCAGGTGGTTAGGGAGCTCAATTCGCAATCTGAGGGTTGTAGGTTCGAATCCCCAGGCCCACCAAACGTGCTCGCCCTTTCAGCCGTGGGGGCATTATTATGTGACAGTCAATCCCACTATTCATTGGTGAAAGAGTAGTCCAAGAGTTGGTGGTGGGTGGTGATGACTAGCTGCCTTCTCTTTAGTCTTACACTGCTAAATTAGGGATGGCTAGCGCAGATAACCCTCGTGTAGCTTTGCGCGAAATTCAGAACAAACAAGTAGCTAATTTCAAATTTAAGAAAATAATATGTAATCGATGAGATTTTAAATAATATTCTAGCATTCTGTAACTGATAATTTTAACTGACATTCTGGCACACTTTGATATATTCATGAAGTAAATTTTTAAATTACACAAACAGTGTTTCTTTTAGAATTAAATAAAAGTGGTTTTTATGCATGTGCATGTACAAAAATTATTTGCTGTGTTCATTGTGATACCATTGTTGTTTTAGTGAACACTGGTTTTTGGCAAAGATAGTTAGAGAAATAATTGTTAAATTCCATGAATACTTGGTCGTTAGTCCATTGGTATTAACAAAAATACAGATCTATGGAAGAAAGTACTTTGTTACCAATTAGTCCTTGTTAAGTATTTTTCACGGTTTTTGTATTTTTACCTTCACATATTACTTGGTACTGGAAATATTTGTTCTTTATCTGGTTGAGAATATTGAAGTCCAGCAGTTCATGATATTTGTTGCAAATTTTCTAACTCCCCTGAATTAAATAAATAAAAAGGATGTTAATCACGTATCAGTCAAAGTAACAGAAATATCTATACTGTGAGCATAGTTCTTGTCCTGTAGTTTGCTGGTGTGTGGTTTGATAGTCGGAAACTTCTACGACCTTGAGCAAGATGTTTTTAATTGTTTTATCATTTTTAGAATTTTTTTTGCATTCATTTAGCCATTTTTGTATGCATTGGTGGATCAATGTTTTCAGTTGTATTAGGAAAAACTTTCTTGAAATTAGTTAGTATCCAGGATCACTTAACATTTGAAGTTATCTTTTATCAACAATCTCAAAAGAGTTTTAATATTTATTTTGCTTGTGTCATGTGATTTGTAAGATCCATGTTCTGCTTTTTAATTTCTTGGTTATTCTATTTATTGTTTTATAGGGAAATACAATTTTTGACTTTAGTTTAATTGTTTGACAGGGATCAAACTATTACATTCCCACATTCCTGAGGAATTTTATCTTTTTACTTGGCTTTCCCAATCAGGAATGCATGGTCTGTCTGTATTCCTTTAGTTATGACCAATGAAAGTGAACATATTACATGGATTAAATGAAAAAACAATTCATGAGGAAATGCAACTTTACATGAGGGAATGTAATCTTCCTGATAGCTTTCCCTCGAGTGAATGTAATTTTATTTCATTATTTCTATCCCTGTTTGATTGGTTTTTGTTTTAAGCAAGTTGAATGGGTGTTCTGATACTCATTGAGCTTAATTTGAAAGTTTAACTATTTTCTTTTTACATGCATTCTACCAGTGGCATTGATAACCAGTTAAATGTGTCATGACACTACCAGAACATGCTTATATTACAGAGAGCACTTTGAGCTGGTCCCTTTGTATATATGTATGCGGAACCTACCTTAGTCTGTGGCCAAAGAAATGTATAATATTCTGGCATTGATTTGTATGTATTGACATCAAAACAACGGTGTGTTATAAGCAATAAACTAGGTTACCCATTCTGTACATAGGGAGCATTTAATATTTTCAAACTAAATGATATGCTCAATTATGTGCTGATGTGTGATTCAATCAGCTCATTAATTATTTGGTTCCCTTCTTTTCACCACTACTACTACAATGAACTAGTATTTTGCATTTCAGTTCCTTTATAGATCAAAAATTTATCAACGCTCACTTGGGCATTGCCATGAATGTACCTGGTCAGGCCCAGCCTAGGCTACATCACTGACTTCAACATTTGAATGTTTCATTTGATTCTAACACTTTTAAGGATATTCAGTTAGCTTGGTAATCATAGTACACATAGTATTAATAAAAAAAAATCACAGATAAGCACGTATAGATAAAACAAGAAATTTTTAATCCTTTCCAATGGTTTGAAAATTATGTTTAACTTCACCTGTTATTTTGGTCTTTTAACATTTAAAACTTCTTTCTTTTCGTACAACAGTTATAAAGTTTTTGTACCTTAAGTAAAACAGTATATTTATTCTATACAATGCTACACAATGAACCATCTGTGTTGTGTCCACTGTGGGGAATCGAACCCCAGATTTTAGTATCGTAAGTCCATAAACTTACCACTGACCCACTAGGAGACTATAATGTACTTAAGTGTTCTTTTTAGAAATTAGTTTCCAAGTGATTTATGTTCACTTTAGATTATTTAATGTATAATATTTATGATTCTGCTACTCATTTATACTGCATATACCAAGATATGATTATTTTAAATACTCATTATAAGGTGACAATAGTTTCAGGTTTTGAGTAATTGGAAAAGCACTTTGTTTCTAATTTACTTTGTAGAAATTAAAAAACATTAAATAATGTAAAATAATATGTTATCAGATTTTCCATCATAGGTTTTTTATAATCCATATAACATCTTGTTGTCTTTTCATGGGCTAACTCCAAATGTTAACATACTTGCCACAGTATATTCATTTTCTTTGTTTCCATCTCTAAAAGCTGTAATATTTAGAGAGTCAAAATAGAGATTTGTAGCTTGAGGAAATAATGTCAACTGTATGTTTCAAACTTTAAACTTGTTTGTTTACTTTTTTCGCAATTGCATTTTTACTTTATGCTACCTATCTTGTTTCTGTAATTTTTTGAAGATCCCTATTCCCTCTTTTTAAATCAACAATTTTTAATAGTCTTGTAAAATATTTGGATTAGTAGGGTTTGACCTGAAGAGTCTTTGCTGAGACTTTTTCTATGGATATTGTGGTCACAATGATTTTCTCCCCAAAGTTAACCACTCTGTCCATGGTTGTCCATGTCTTCGGACAATTCACTGAAAATACCTGGAATGTAGGAAAACATTCCTTTCTTTTGCTGTTTGACTTTTTTTTTTATGAGAACCAATGAAAAATTTTCTCTGACCTCTTTTATGATTTGCTTTCTCTGCAACTGTATCCTGTCACAACTGCATCCAAACCTATTGCACTGGCAGCACATTGAGCATTTTTTAACTTGCAAATAAGTTTTGAATCTGATGTTTCTGACTCCAATATGTGTTCAATCTTGACAGAAAATCTGCTGATTGTTCTTACAGTTTCCAATTACAGTAGACTCTCCCTGAGCGACCATCTCCCCAAGCAGACCACTCCCCCATTGCAGGCAAAATACTATAGTCCCGACAATTTGCCTGTCTTTACCCTTATAAAATATTTCCCCAGGCCGACCACTCCCCTATTCCATACAACGACCATTGAAATCAGTCCCGAGACCATTGTTGACATTCCATGTTGCAACCGCCCGCTGTCTTTTATTTTTTGAAGATAAACATTAACAGGTGTGGTCATTGTTGATTGCAGTCGTGTTCATTATTTGACAACACTCAGCATGTGTCACTTTTAAATTACTCTGATGGTGTTTCTAATTACATTGTTTTGTTTTATTGCCATTTGGACCATGATTTTAAAAATTCCTGCCATAAAAAGTTGCAAAATATGTGGTAACATGAAGCAAATGTTACATTAATCAAGTTACATAAAGCTCAAGCTACATGTGAGCTGGTAGTCCTAGCGAGTATACCTCACAGAAAAATGTTATTATTATCATTATTTTTATTTATTTTACCTAATTTAACCTTATCCAGCCTAAAATTTTCTAATTATTACATTTTTATTTACTTTTATAATAATAAATAAATAAAGTTAAGAAAAACAAAAAATTAGCACTTACCCATGTAACCTTTTTATTTTATTGTCGTCGACTGTCCTTCTATGTTAGCCCTAATACTTTCACCAATACTACTAGTCCACAAAATAATATTCCCTCTAACTAAATAATACATGGGAGAACATCACACATAACATTACAATTGAATGTTCAAATATTTTAAAAGTTAATTGGTGAACTGGTCGATCCATAGTAAGACCACTTTTGTTCAGACCCAAAAATGATCTTAATAGGGAGAGTCTACTGTATCACTGGCTTTTTGAGAACCTCAATAGGTATTGTATTAAAATAACACCAAAAAATTTGGCAAAATTTAGTAAAACATTTCTCTATCTCCCAAAAAATATAATCATTGCATATCCTCCAGTTATTTTCACTTTTTGGGTGACGAACACCACTGGATTTCTCATAATACACTACATATCTTATAAGATATGCAAGAGAGTTGAAAAAATGCCAGATGTGCCTGTCTGCCAGAGATAAAATACTGTTCATATTCTGGTTGACTTTGGGATTAGTTGTTAAATTTTCTGAAGTGTAAAATTTATATTACATGGCCTTTGAATCTGTAAAATTTTAAGTTAATCTTCTAAAATCAACTTTGCTAAAAGTTCCTGGGAATTTTTTAAGTTTCTCTTTTTTTTTTTTTTCTCAACACCATTTGTTTTTTGTGATGTGGAGCTCAATCTTTTAACTTTATCCATATGTGGTTTAACCCAAGTTACTGGTTTTGGGTAGGCTTAAAAAAATGAAACTGTGCTTCTGGACATATTCTGTACAAATAAGTAGAAGTTGAAAATTGGTATTGGTTCTGTAACATTTCTGAAGAACTTCATTGAACTTGGATTATACAGAGTAGCCAAAAAGTAATAGGATTCTGATGCTTCATAAATATAATGTTTTTTTCTTATTATTCAATACAGAAGAGGTGGCAGCAGTAATTTCCATAAAGAAATAAATCTCTACACAGACCTGTTTGATTTTAATTTGTATTTGCAGTGCATTATTTGAATAAAGATTGTTATCAGGAAATACAATATTTCAATACATGTTATACAGTCCTATTACTTTTAGCCTACCTGTGATTTTTATTATTTTCTAAATGTATGTACCTGTTTGTTTCTGTATACTTACGTTTAATACCACTTTTATATTGTTTTTCTATTTCATGGACTTAAGCTCCTGGGGACAAACAAAAAAGTGACTGGTCGTTTAGGTCGACGTTCTTACAAGTGCCCTTACTGTGATCGCATCTTTCACCGTTCAAGCACAGATCTACAGAAACATATGTGGATCCATGAAGGAATTAAACCTTACAAATGTACACTCTGTTCTCATGAGAGTCGCAGCAAAAACAATCTCAGGGTGCACATGTTGCGTCACACAGAGGAGAAATCTCACTTGTGTGAAGAATGTGGAAAGTCTTATAAATCTAAGACTGCTTTAAGGACCCATCTTAAGTGAGTATTTTTTCAGCAGTGTTAACTAGGGCTTAGGCTTATATCAAAACAAAGTTTAACTATTAAATTGTTAACAAGTTTAATTATATGATCTGCTTATTAAGTGTGTGTTTGTATACATATATGTAAATTTTAGTTCTTAAAATATTTTCTCTTTGTACTCCATGTAATCAGTCAATATTTTTTATATGTCTTACACGATTCTGACTTTCTTCCTACTGTTCAAGATTTCAGTATTCTGGGAAGTGGTTTAAATGATAATATGTGTGTGTATATATAGATATGGATTTAATATGGTTTGTTACTCACTTTAACACAGTCTGACTAAGCCATCATGGTTATGTTCCTTGTGAACTGTGAGTGGTCTTTTCAATCCTTGTGAACTAAATCTGTTTTGTGTGTGTAGTGGTTGCTTTATAGGTCCCATGTTTGTTCAGTCCTTGTGAACTAAGTCTGTTTTGTGTGTGTGTAATGGCTGCTTTATAGGTCCCATGTTTGTTCAGTCCATGTGAACTTATTAGTGAGGCTCATGTGTGCAGTGACTGATGAATAGAATCCAAGTGAATTTTGTTGTGCAGAAGTTCTAGAACATACAGCCTTAATATCATAATTTCTGGTTAAAGCACTAAACAAAGTATTAACGTGTTTTCATAGGCTCAATGTGTATAGTTATGGACATGAATGTGACATTTTTGGTGTCTTTATTGTTGAAGAAGAAGAAAAAATATATATACAATTCCATAAAAGAATAAATATGGAATGTGTGTTTGGCTAGTTCATAGTCTTGTTGTTATTTTGTTTTAGGATACACACACAAGGAAATATCTTCACATGTGACCGCTGTGATTATAGTGCCTCTCAGAAAAGTCATCTGTGGAGACACATGGAGACCCATGATGTGGTGCGCCAGTATGCTTGTGAACATTGTGATTACTCCTCCAACACAGTTGGTTATATGAAGGTGAGAAATCTGGAAGTTCAATAAAATTCAAGTCTTATGTTCATCACAACCCTTACTAATTTCACCTGCTTCTACATTATCTAATGTATGATGGTTTACTGCACTCCTACCTCTGTAATACCTAATGTATGATGGTTTACTGCACTCCTACCTCTGTAATATCTAATGTATGATGGTTCACTGTACTCCTACCTCTGTAATACCTAATGTATGATGGTTTACTGCACTCCTACCTCTGTAATACCTAATGTATGATGGTTTACTGCACTCCTACCTCTGTAATATCTAATGTATGATGGTTCACTGCACTCCTACCTCTATAATATTTAATGTATGATGGTTCACTGCAGTCCAACCTCTGTAATATTTAATGTATTGTTTACTGCAATTCAACTTCTGTAATATCTAATGTATTTTTTAAGCCATTCCTTCATTTTATTGTTGAACAACTGGAAAGTGTACTTGATTGATAACACTGTTTAGAATGGCTAAATGTTCTGTGGTTGGTTAGTAAATGACTATTTTGTGTGTATGATTACAAAATGAGTAGAAAATATTTATTCACATCAGAAATACATGAGCATCACATGCTTCAAAGTCAGTATAAATAAACAGATGTCCAAAATAAACTGTTCAGTAGATGTTTAATTAAAAGAAGCAACTTTTAATTAAAGGTTCTTTTACTGAGCCATTACTTAATAGACTCAGTTATGTTATGGACATTTTTGTTTTGTACAGTCTGTTTTCATTTAAAGGAATGTTGATTTTAATATATATATATATATGTATATACAATTTCAGTAAAAAAAAATTATTATTGTCCCCCTACCCCAGTTGAAGTAATGTTGATTTTAACATACTTATATATATATATATATATATGTGTGTGTGTGTGTGTGTGTGTGTGTATTTACATTTTCTATTAAAAATATCATTTTGCCCACCCCCAGTTGATTGTGAATAGTTGTTTTTAACATAAGTTTACCAGTGCGAATTACCATTAATATATAACAGATAATACCTTAGTAGTCCAGTAATTGATTTTTTTTCTAATGAACAAAGGCTCACTATAGTAGACACCACAAGGGGGCAATATATAATGAAAATTCCAGTTTTTCCACACCAGAGATATTAGAAAATCAAGAACAAGTCTTCAAGTGTGTTAGTTGTTCTTACATTTTTGGGAATATATCAGACTTGAAACGTCATTTGCGGGTAAGTCTTTTTTATTTATTTTTGTTCTGAATCAGTCGGTGCTACTATTTTGTTTAAAACTAAACTGTGAGTTGCCTTTCTTTATATGTTAATGAATAAAGTATGCACTTGAGAGAGAGCATTTTAAAAATTGAAGAAGTTACATCTTAAATTACGAACTTAATTTTATACTTTCTGTTACTGGTAGGATCCATTTGTAACATCATATTGAGTAATTTTATTTTATTGTATTGTTATAAAACTTGGGCAGTATTATTAAATGCATCATTGTGCATTGTTTATGGTAGTTTTTAAATTTATTTGACTACCTAGCAAATAACAGAGGCCATTATGACTGTTGACACACGGTTGTTTTAATGTGGTTTATATGGAGCCTCATAATTTACTATATGCATATGTATATAGCTGCATGCAGGCCATGGATGTAATTTAATGTTTATATGGCAGGCATGACAGATGTACCATAGTGATTATTAACTAACTGTTGCAACTGTATTGATGTTGCACATCATTTGTTTATATATATAGGGTTCTTGCCCCTTTTGGACACAATGTTGCTGACAGGATCACACACAGTTTTTTGTTTCTTTACCACTGCATGATTGATTTTAGCCATTTCACGCAAATGTCTAAAATGTATACAAATGTCTAAGGTGTCTCCCACACCAGAAATCTTTAAGCTGCAGTGAAAATGCAGTTGCAAAAAAAGAAGTAAACAAACAAGTTTAAGGTCTGAAACATAGAGTTGACATTATTTCCTCAAGCTGCAAATCCCTAATTTAAATACATTGAGTAAACATTTGTGTGAATTCACTCATTTCCTGTGTCAAATAATATGGAGGACCCCAGCTGTAGTTAGCGGGATTAATTGTACTATTTATAGTATTTTCGTTTTAAATATTTTGTGTTACTTATGTTATTATGGATCATGCATAAGTCAACAAATTCATGGTCTCGTGAAGTACTTGGTATACAAACAGTTTAGAAAAACATGTTTAAAAAGGCATTGGAGTCATCAGTAATTCTAGGGTTAAGATATCTACAAAAGGTTAGCAAATACAGGTGCAGGGTAAATGCTTGACCTCTTGTAAACATTTAATTAAACATAAAAAAAATTAATTATATACTATGTTTTGATGCCAAGTTTATTGACATACATTGAAAATAAAGTTGTTTAATTAAATTTTGAATGTAACTCTGTGAAAAGTAATGACATGCACAATTTGACCCTGCCATATACATAGGGTTAATAAGTTTTATGTTCACA